CAACTTTTTCTGGGTGGGGGTTAACAGAGTCTTGCTATGTAGTTCAGGCTGGCTTTGAACTCACTATGTAGATACTCACAGTGATCTTCCAGCCTCAGTGTCCTGAGTGCTGGGATTGCAGGTATGCACTACCATGCTAGTAAAAACAGGTGCCACTGCCTGCCTCACAAGCACAAGGTCCCGAGTTCAATCCCCAGTACCCAAAACAAACAAACATTGTAATCACTGAACAGAGCACTCTGGCAATCAAGACTTATAAAACCTGCCATCTTCTGAGGCGAAGAAAGCACTCCGTGACCCACAGAACTCTGATGATCAAACCAGGTGGTCACAGGTTGTCCTGTTGAAAACTTCCACAACTTTCCTGATCAGGTCATCATAGGAGGTCTGACTTAAGTCTGTTTCAAAGCTAACCTAAGAAAACTCTGATCCTGGAGTGATGTGAATAGTCCAGTGGTTTCATCCGATTCATTCCATGTTCACTGAATACCCACAAGGATTGAACAGTGTGGCATCAATGACAGGACTTAGTGCCAGTCACGCATTCCGCTCTCCCAAGTGACATCCACTGCAGTAGAACTGGTCTAGAGCTCCTGGGTCAAGCTCGTTCATCAGAATTTCCAGGGTCTGATCTGGCTGATTACTCAACTCTCTGGGAAATCCAGAGTATACAAGCACCAACAGTCAGGATTCAGACATCCTGTGCAATGTGCTACTCCATTTAGGAAAATTGCACTAACTCTTAATTTGTTTTTACTGGAAATTCAGTGTGGATACCCTTGGTGAGTTTTTATGAAACTCTTATGAGAATAAAAGCTTCGAATCTGGTCAAACCCACCATAATCCCTAGCAAGCTTCAACAGGGGAACCAGTACATTCAGTAAGAGGGTGGTTCCACATGTCTTCAAAATGAAATGCCTCTTGGAGACAGGTATGCTACCTTCACTGAGCACAAAAGCTTCCTGCTTGCCGATTTTTGTCACACTTATGATTGAACATTGGACATCTTCAAAAGTACATCCCACTCAGATCTCAGGATAATGCAAAGATCCCCAGATCCCTGGTGGACATTGGGTTGCTGATGGGAGAACCAAACCTCCAGCAGCTCCCATCGTGAGACTGTCCAACGACCAACCACAGAAAATCAACTAAATTAAATCTTGTCTCCTGCCGCTGCCACTGCTGCTGCTGCAGATGGTTCCAGCTGTGTTGCTATAAAATTTAGGTTTCTTTATTTGCTATAATTTTATATTAACTTTAAAAAAAGATTAATAAAAATTTCCTGGCTTTTGGTGTGAGTGAAATTTCATGTTCAAAAGACTCATGTTCATGAATCTGTTTGGAAATAGAGGCAGATACAATTCAATCTCTTGTCGTCAGTCCGCTGCTTTCCTGTTAGAATGAGTGCTAGCTAATGTCACTGGCCATACTGTGTGAGCAGTAGAAACTCCAGCTTTTCCCGCCCTGGGGCTCTCGCTCCACCTTCAGGATTCTGGGCCCAGCTGTGTTGGCCAGCAGCATGCAGAAGTGCTTGGTCTGGGTGGGCTGAAAGCCCAAGCAGATCTGGAAAAAAATCACAAAAGCCTGTTTCATATTTGAAATATTCAAAAATTTCTATGAATAGTGGGTTCATTTTTGTCTTCAAGTGAAAATAGAGAGGTGAGTACAATGTAAGGGGAGGGAGGCAGGCTGGAGCTGTACGATAGAGACCCAGTTAAACCATGCTGACTTTCTTTTCTCTCATCAACATCCCTGAAACCACCACAAATTTGCTTTAAAAGCACTTAAGAAAGCCGGATGTAGTGGTCACACCTGTAAGGCAGGAAGGAGGATCTCGAGTTTGAGACTGGAGTGGGTTAATGTGGGTAATTTAGTGAGTTTGAGGCCATTGGGTCACTAGTAGGATCCTGTTACAGAAAACAAAACAAAAAAACACAGAAAATGTTCTTAAGGTTGGGAGTGGTGGAGCAGCCTGTGATCCAGGCACTTGGGAGTCTTGAGGTAGGTGGACCAATGTCAGATCAAGGCCAGCCTGGGCTGAATCAAAACAAAAACAACAAACAAAAATTCTCAGGGCTAGGGTGTGGCTCACTGCTAGCACTGTGTGAAGTGCTGCAATCACCCAGACCTACATTAGTTATCAGGTCTCAGCCCTCAGAACCAGGGTGCTCAGCAAGCCTGATCCCATGGAAGTCACTTACTGAGCTTTTCATTGCACTTGCAGTTCTCTATCCGTAGGTGGCACTGTGACCACAGCGAACACCCTCACAGAGCCCCCCAAAATGATCTATTCGAATGGTCAGAAATGTGTCCCAGGAGCCCCTGAGCTGCCCAGGGTGGATGGACACAGGTGCATGGAGGTGGAGTAGAGAAGGACTGGAGCTGACAGCAGCCTGCAGGTCTCAGCGGTGCCCACGGAGCAAGGGGTCTACGTTTCCTAAGACGCTAAATTAGGCCCTGTGACTGAACTGACAGACGCAACTTTAAATCATACTGGGTGAAATAAAGAGGGCTTTTTCTTTTTATACTTGGTCAGAGGCTGCAGCTCAGTGGTTGAGCATTTGCCTAGCATGTGTGAGTCACCATCTGGGTTCACTCCTCCAAAACAAAATGATTCTCTGACCACCAAAACCTGTATGAAATGTCACAAAGAATCCACGTGGTTAGCACACACTGCAGCCACAGAAAACCGCGGAAAAGAACAAACCACAAGTGAACTCCAGCACCTGTTCTGGATTTTACCTGTCCCTGTTTCCTTTCATGTGCCTCACCATCCCTGATGCTGCTATGCATAGGCGGCCCATGAAGATTTGAAGGTGCTCTTTTCACCTTGTCGATATAAGGTGACACGAGGCAAGAGGTGGGGCCTATCTTACTGGTTGCTGGGGAATCAACTTCAACAGAGAGAAACCCACACACAGGTCCCAACCTTCTGCGGCCCAGAGCACCATTCTTCTGAGCTCTATAATGATGTTTCTACACCACCTCCTGAGTCCAGGATGCTCACCTGCAGACTCCTGCTCCACCCAGGTCCAAAGTCCTTCAAAAGGCTGGTTGTTCTCTGTTGCCAAGCTGAAAGCTACTATTTCAGAAAACAGGAACTCTGTGAGGAATGAGACTCTGAAGGTAACATGTTATTGATATAAATATTTTATTCTGTAGCATATAAAAGGTTTAAACATTATTTCTGTATTCAAGCAGAGCATACTTGGAAGTGGGGCTGCAGCTCTTTGAGCCAGAGGACAGAGGATCAGATCTAGTTGTCCTAGCGAGGTCCCCAATCACTGTGACACTCTGCAGCTGGAGAGAAGGGACAGCTTTGCTCCCACAAGGGTGGCTTGTTAGTTCATTGGGGCAGTGGGTGGCAGAGGTGGAACGGGCTTCAGGGCACTTGTAGAAATGAGGCACTTGATGGGAAGCTTGCCTGAGATGGAAACAGTCTTGTCAGAACAAGTTGGCCTGAAACAGCAGAGCCTTCTCGTCCTGGATCTCTGGCCCGTATCTCATGGCTATTTGATGTGGAACAAGGAACAATGGAAGCAAAGACAAGGAAAGTTCACAGAAGGAAATAATGATGGAGCACTGCTTCCTTATCCCAGGCTGGCAAACAGCTCAGAGCATAAAGGCTTGGGCGATGAGCAATGCTGAGTGCGGAACGGCTTTTGGATCTTGAGTTCAGACACTGTGGGGCCAGTGAACTGGTAGGAGGGTCTCAATCTGCTGGGAGATGTTTCTAATTGGAAGAGTTAGGATCTGTGAGGGGTAGTCCCCGGAGCATCATTCACACTGACAGGCCAGGCTTCAGGACAGGGTAACAGACACGGAGGAGGGCCTGAGCTCTGCCCAGTGAGGTCTGCAGGGTCGAGGTCGGCTAGTTGGCTCCCCGCCCTCCTGCCATGCCTTTTAACAAGTACACTCGCCCTACTCCATGGTCCGCAGATGAGTGTGGACAGCACACCTGGGCTGAGAATAAAGGCAACTATCAAAGGGTTCCCTGTCCTCCCAGACAGTCCCCTCTAGAATGTATGGTCAGCCTAAACTGAGATGAAGGCAGAGCAAATTCTCACATAGCTGACCACAGACCTGACCTCGGCCACTCTGACTGAGATGGGCACCCACCAACCTGCTGGGGGAAGGGTAGAGGGAACGGTGACATTAGGAGTCCCCCTCACGTCTGTGGGTGTGCCCAAGTTCTTTCTTTCTGGGTGGTAAACTGTGGACACCATCTTCTCCCATGAGGAAGCAGGACAGCAGAGCAAGGTCACCTGTGTGGATACACAGCGACCACTGACTGGGTTTTCCCAGCCCTGATGGGAGACAGCGCCTAGTCCCCTTTTCATCAAAGGCAGAGCTACATGAATGTTGGAGAGGACAACCTGTAGGACCATGTTCCTCACCTGTGCCACTTTTTATGCATGGCTCATGACCACAGGACCACTCTGGAAGATGCTCAGCCACAGAGTACAAGACAGACCTGAAGCAGAGTAGCAAGCTAGGACCTACAGGCCAAATGTGGCCTGCAGCCTCTTTCAAGTAAGTAAAGTTTAGTTCACACATCCACATTCCTTTGTGTGCAGTTATCTGTGGCTTCTTCTGAACTACAAAGGCAGATCTTGAGTAGTTGTGACAGACTCACAGGACTTTTATAGTGTGCATGCTTTTCTGTCTGCAGACTAAAGGCAATTTAGGGAATATCCCTCTTTGGAAAAGAGACCCAGAAGCCATTTATAACCCTGCAATCAGGAGGCTGAGGCAAGAGGATCACAAATTTAAGGCTACACAGTCTCAAAAAAAAAAAAAAAAAA